ATCTGCATGCCACGCTCTCCGCGATACCGACAAAATATCAATGGCAACTGCTTTGCAAGAAACCGGATACCTTGGTCCAACGCCGTGCGATTACCGCGAGAATAATCTTTCCGCGCATTTCGAACTACATATCGAGCAAGGCCCAATCCTTGAGCGCGAAGGCAAAGAGGTAGGCATCGTAACGAGTGTACAAGGGATGAAGTGGTTCGCCATCCGCGTCACAGGCCGAGAAGGCCATTCAGGCACAACGCCCATGGAAGGAAGAGCAGATGCTTTGGTAACAGCTGCGCGTCTCATCACTGCCGTAAGAGACACCGCTGTACAGACTGGCCTGGGTGTAGCTACCGTGGGTGTCATCAGCAGTGATACGAGTTCACAAGCTACTATACCCGCTGGCGTGGGGTTTGTGGTGGATGTTAGATGCGATACTGATGACCTCGTCGATCAACTTTCTGAGAAGATCCTACGGGCGTTCGATGAAGTTATCAAGGAAGAAGATAATGCGACTGCGTATTCCGTGGAGCGTACGTGGGGATTGCCCGAATCGAAGTTCCATCCGGATTGTATTGAGGCTGTGAGGACGGCGGCAGTGGGGTTGGTGGGTGAACGTCAGGTTATGCAGATGAAGAGCAGAGCAGGACATGATAGTGCGTGGACCAGCAGAGTGTGTCCAACGAGTATGATCTTTGTGCCGAGCAAAGGGGGGATAAGTCACAATCCGGAGGAGTACACGAGTCCCGAGCATTGCGCGTTGGGAGCACAGGTTCTGCTTGATGCGGTGCTGAGTTATGATGAGAAGGGTAGAGACGGGGAGTTTAGGGACTGAGGGAATGCAGTGTGCACTCGAAGAATCGTGATAGTATGGTATCGCCTCATTCTATACACAACTCAATGTCAACTATTTACAAGAAAATCCCTCTCTACACCTCATCTACACCTCAATGCCCGACCTTCCCACATCAAAGTCTCATACACCCTTCTCAACCAGAGTAAACCGCCGGCCCAGGACTAACATACTTGAAACTAGAATCATAAATCGCCTTCGTAAAAACCGGATCACTAGTCTTATACCCCCCAGGAAAGCTAACCCCACTCGGCGTCGCACTGCCACCCCCGGTAACCTTGACCTGGAAGCAACTAACATACGGCTGCGGGTTATTCGCACCAGCATGCAGCGCAATCGCCTCGGCGCGGACCAAGTAATCCCCGCTCGCAATGTTCTTGGGCACGGTGAAAGCGCGCTTTCCACAGTTGGCATTGAGGATCTCGGTGCCCCAGGACGCGGTTGTGCCGGTGTACCCGTCTTCGGCGACTTTGAAGAAGGAGCCAGAGGTTGCGGTTTTGGCGTCGGCGACTTTGGCCATGTACACGAAGACGGGGCCGTAGTGGTTGCCGCCGATGGCGGGTTGGGAGCAGGAGCGTGCGTTGGGTTGGGCGTGCATTTCGACGGTTAGGGAACTGCCGGCTGGGGGGGTTTGTTAGTATGTTTAATACTGTACGATATGTCTTACGTGGAAATAGGGGACGTACCAGCGACTTCGCAGACGCCTGATGTAGAAGCTGGGCCGCGTCCGCAGAACATGTCGGGAGAGGTCAGACTGGTGATGGGGCTGTTGTCTTTGACTGTTCGCACACAAGTGCCAGCCTTATCTTCACTGCCGACCCAGAGTTCTTGCCAGGTGGAGTGGGCGGAGACGGTCGCCGCGGTGGCGAGGAGAACAGTGGCGTACTTCATGCTGAACGTCGATGGGATAAGATGCGAAATGAGTGAAGGGTATGCAGGTCTGTATCTCTCTTTCTCGACCAAACTCCAGCCGGCACTCCCAGTATTTATTCCCTTTCGATTCTCGGTGTCATGCGCCTTGGGACACTTCACCACAGCAATCTAAGAGCGACGATATGGCTCCACCCGGGCCGCTGTACCTACTCCTCCCTCGTCATCTCCGCACCTAGTCGTGGCTCCCAACCACTATCTTCATCGTTCTCGCCCCGATCACTTAGATAGATTAATGGCACTGCCATCAAGCTTTCTTGGCACCTGTCGGGTAGCGCGTGCCCCGTCAGGCCGTCAGCACTCAATTTGCACGACACGCGCTCATTCGCCGGGAAGAGGAAAAGCGGAGGCGAAGTGTAAATGGAGAGATTTTGAACTTGCATGTCCCCAGGTTTCAGCCTTTTACCTCATTGGGCACGGCATTGGTGGTTTGGTACCGATGTCACATGGCGCAATGGGCGCGGGTTTTGGGTTTCGGACTGCAACGGTGATGCTTGGCTATATGGAGGTCGTATATTATATGCGTCATGGTGGTCAGTGGTACGGCTGGGTTGGGGTGGTGTGAGATCGTCGCGTAAGCGTGAGCATGTGGGCTGCTCTAAGGTGTGGTATCTTTGGGCTCTGGAATGCAGTTGTTCATCCGTTGTACCTGAGGTATTTGCGCGTCTGCGGCATCTCGAAAGGTCGTTGTGATGATCCTCTCATGTTCCTGTTCGAGAATGCCGATCATTCGGCAATTTGGGCCTGGAGCCGCTCAGCAGGCTAGCCGACATTCAATCCGAAACGATCTGAAATGCTACAACGTCTACCATTGGTTTGTGTCTGTCGATACCCACTGGTGTTTTTTTTTCTTTTCGCCTTGCAATTGTTCAAAGAAATGAACTACAGAAGCCGATCGCGGAAAATGGTGTGCGGAGAGGACGTTGAACTGCGTGAGATGTCTGTCACCTCTGCCTCCTCCACCCACCCTTGGAGCCGCTCAGGAGGCTAGTCATCATTCAATTCGAAACGCTTTGAAAATGCTAGAATACCCACCATTGCCCTGAATTCGTCGATGCCCGCAGTTGTTTAGTTTCTTTTCGCCTTGCAATTGTTCAAAGACACGAGTAATGAAGGCCAACGGCCAAGAGACACGCGCCTGAGCGCCATCGACGCCTCTGGTCAAGTTTTGTTCGATTGCGAATCTTCGATAGATTGGATGGTGTTTAACTTTGGTCTTGGCGGAACGTAGTGGATGCGAGACTGTCTTCATCCGGGTTTTGTCACGCCTCTTCCGTGATGGCACGATCAACAGTGCGTGAGAATGCCAACGGAGGAAGCATTTGGCGTCGCAACCGTATCGAAATTGACGCCAGACGACGTGCGAAGCAGATTTTACCTGGTTTACTTCCACGCCTCTTCCGTGCGTAGTCGAAATGCCGATCGGCTGGTCCTCCTCGAAAGAAAGGAAGAAGACGTCCAATGTACCACCGTCTTCCAAAGTCTAAGCCCCTTCCACTTTCACACTCTTCTCCTTCTTCCCAAAGTAATTCGCCAGCGTATTCTTCTGCGCCGGCTTCTCCTTCTCTTTCTTCCCACTCCCACCTGCCTCCTTCTTCTTCACCTCCCCAACCCCCATCAACTTCTTAAACTCCTCCCACTCCCCCTTCCCCACAATGCCCCCACTAGCCTCCTTGTGACCCCTCGCAAAGCTCTCTCCAAGCCTCAGTCTCAGCTCCTCATCGCCTGCCACAATACCCTCCAGCTTCTTAATAATATCGACCTTCTCCTCCCCTTCCCGCGCTCTCGCACACTTGGCAACGCGACACGAGAAGTTGACTTTGTCGGGTAGGTAGCCTTCATTTGCGCACATGACGATTTCGAGTTTATTCGATTTGAGCGTGCCGGACCAGCGTGTAGCGATAACAGGATGGATCTGCGCGGCGCTCGATATCGTCAGGACGGCGATTGTGGCGTCGGCGGAAAACTTGGGGGCTGTGTGGGTGCAGCGTTCGGTTTCTCGTCGTACCTCCATGCTCGCTTCTTTCAGCTTGTCGGCTTTTGAAATATCGATGGGGCTGCTGGCGGAGATGACGGCGTCCCAGGCGTCGCGCACGTTGTAGGCTGCTGCTCTGCGTGGTGCGTTGGCCAGGGCTACGGCATCGTTGATGGACTTTTTGGGATGTTGCTTGAATGTTGCGACCATGTCTGGAAAGGGGGGTTCCCATTTTATGCTGCTTCCGAGATCGCCGTGCGTTCCTAGAGCTGCTAACCAGGATATCTTGTCGTGCAAGTCTGGGTGAAGCGGGAGGCAGATTGTGTATGTGAGTAGTGCGCTGGTTGCCACAGGTGGGCAGTCATGAGCTGTCACGTAATCGCTGCCTTCTGGAAAGCCGCCTTCATCTGCAAAGTGATGGTCCACTACCAGGCATGTGTGGGGTGAGTCGATGACAGGCGGTGTCTTCCGGCTGCCTTGATCTAGAATGAAGATGTAGGATGGCGAGATAGCTGTCAGGGCCTGCTTTGTGGTTTCATCGTGTACATTAGAGCCTTTTGGTGGGAAGTAGACGGATATGAGATCAGGTGATAAACCTAGTGCGGTGAGGGTATGATGTAGTATAGCGCCAGAGGAAAGCCCGTCCGCATCCTTATCGGGCATGATGACGATTGGTTTTTGCGCTTCAGCACTGCGTGATGTTAGTGTCCACACATTTTCTATCGAGTGCTTAGTGGTATACCATTGTCGAATGATCTCTCGCGCACGTTCAATCTGCTCTTTCCGTGCCGGCCAGACATTCTCTCCAGACTCGTCTTGTCTTGATGGGGTGCGATGATATGCAGGAATCTCTGTCTTCGTCTTTCTCGTTGTCTTTGTCTTCTTCGGTTTCGGTGGCGATATATCTTTCTCGGCTTTACGTTTTGCTGGGCTCGACATCATCGTCGACGCGTGGAATTGCCGGGCTTGGATGAACCGGGCGAATAGTGGCGATGATCGTGGCGAATATAGACTTTGTAAAGGAGAATTTGGTAATTGCGCTAATCTATAGACAAGAGATCTCATTATACACGCGCGTTATCCTGGCTGAAACGAGAGAAACGAATACACGCAGGGTCGTTGACCGGGGTGAAAGGTACGGAGGTATCGATGACGTAGTCGACACACTAGTCCCGTTCTTGCCCAACCACCAAAGTTTCGAGACGCGTTCACGCGTTTTGGTGTTGGGATGCTTTTACGCGCCTAGCTCACCTAAGGAGCGTTATCGACTTCCTTGGTGGTCTTGTCAACGAGCATCTTCTCGTAGCCTGCATATCATCGTTAGCGCTATCCCACAGTAACGGAGCTCATATACATACACATTCTAATCCGTTGCACCGCATCTGCAATCTGCTCGCTCGAGTCGGTAGCATCATCCAGTGTCAAAGCCGCAGCGACATACTGAACCGGCTTAACAAACGGCCTCCCCTCTTTGTTATCCGGACGAGGGAAAAATCCCGTGTCGAATCGAGCGACCTGCCTGAAGGCATGTTCGTATTTGGCATCCTTACTTCTGCATGCTTGCGATCTTCGGAAAGTCTCAAAGTCGAATTGTGCGCAGTCTAACCCGTTCGGCTTGGGTATCTCCGCCAGGGTCAACAATTCTGTTGCTGTCCTCATCGTAGTGTTGCGATACGAAACCATTTTGGTGATTATCTCTAGGGCCTCGCTATTGTCGTCAAACTTTCCTTCAAGAAACTCTGTTATGCAACCGTTGATCCCTGTATTTGGGGCTAGGTTCGATCTCCCCGGGCAGCTGTTGAGGTAGAGTTCGCACTCGATCCTCAGGGCGTTTATCTTCATCGTCGATGGGGCAAGACTTTCTTGGGGGGCTCCCATTGCCGATTAGGAAGGGAATGGAAGGTCTTTCTGTGAGAATTGTCTGATGGAGGAGTGTTTGGCTTGAAGGAAGAGGGTAGCAAACGAAGATTTATGTACCTATAGTGCGCGACTTCAGCCTTCGTGCTAAGCTGATGCGTCTGAACCGGATTCTTGAATTTGGGTAGATGTGATGTGAATTTCGGAAGTCTTGAGTGGCTCGTCTACTCTGCATCACCGCAGTACCATGGGAAGATGTTGATGGAATTGACATCAACCAACGCGTCTGGTAGCTTTGTAACTCACCAACACCCTAATTCCCGATAGACTTAAAGCCAGCATAGAGATGACCTCCACCACCGCCCCTCCTCCTCCCCTCCTCCTCCGATTCGGAAGGAGATGGTTGGTCTTTCTGTGGGGCCTGCATGACGGAGGAGTGTTTGGCTTGAGAAAAAGAGGGTAACGAAAGGAGGTTTATATACCTATAGTGCGCTAACTCAGCCTTCATAGTAGGTTGGCGCGTCTAAACCGGGTTCTTAATTTTAGGTAGGTGTCACGTGAATGTCGGAGGTCGTGAGTGGTTCGTCTTTTCTGCGTCGCCGCAGTACCGTGGAAGGAAGTGGATTCAACCATGTTACAGCTGCAACTCGACTTTCGTCTCTGCAAGTGTACGCGCGTCGAAGCCAATGCCTGTGATCTCAATCTCGATCTCTTGGCCAGCATGCCGTTCAACAAACTCCTCGTTCAGAATAAGCTCCAGCGCATACGCTTTCCCCACCAACAGCCCATTACTTCTCACCTCAAAGTGTGAAAAAGGACCCGTGACATGACTCCATGGCATATCCGCGATTTTCCACCGCTCAGATTCCATGTCATCCTCGTAGTCCCAGCACAGTCTAACATGCCTACTCTCCCCTTCACCGCGCTTTTCAACCCGTACTTCCTTTATCCTAAGAGAAGAACTCTCCGGCAAATCAGCTACCGGCGAGATGCAAATCTCCTTGAAACCAATTAACCTCACAGGCCCACGTAAAGTCCCCATCAACGGACCCTTAACCTGTATACCCAGCTCTTCTATCCTCGCTCCGGGCACATTATCTAGCAACACGATCGGCTTCCGCGATAGATGCACCGTGTGATAATGCGTCGTTCTACCCGATTTGAAGTACAAAAGAAAAGTCATGTCCTCCATTTCTGGTGGTCTAGGATCCTCGTAGCTGTCTAGCACCATGGAAAGCTGCAAGGATCCGTCGGCTGGCATGTCGAGTTTGTAGAGGGGAAGGAAGGCTTCTACGTCGCAGTCTTCGGTTGGCTGTTGTGGGACTAAGGAGATGAAGGAGATGACTAGGATGTTTTGGTTGTGAGAGTGTTCTATATGATGCGAGAGTGTAACGTCCTCGCTTTCGGAGAAGAGGCTGGCTGGACGTGGGAGGATGGATTGCGAACCCAGTTGCGAATGTGTGTTGTGGTTGTTGAACAGGTGTCTTGCGTCGTCATCATGTGGGGAGAATGCGCGGGTGAAGTCGGTGTAGAAGAAATGTTCTGAACCTGCCACGCGCTCTTTGGCTGAATGTAGGATTGGACGCTCTTTGTTCGGCGGATGACGCGACGCACAGTCCCCACAGGTGCAATCGATGCCCTCTGGTAGTGGCGTGCCTTCCCAGACAGTGCGTTCGACGTCCCGCTCGTGGCCTGGGAAATGCTCGAACGACCATGCTGGTGCAAAGATGCCAACCGATTGACCCGTATCCGAGAGTCTGGCCAATGCGACTCCAGTGTTTGTACCACCGCCCCCATATTCAGGATATGTGACGCGAGGGTGGGTAAAACTAGACTTGTTCTGTGCCCAGACGTCCACGCCAAAGTAGATATTCTTCTTCTTGCCTTTAGCGTAAGGGCCAAAATAGCCAGCGTACTGTCCGAGCTTTATTGATTCAGAAACATCAACATCCGTCCAGCAGTAGTTGGTGAGTAGGTTTTCGCATGCGTCAGCAAATTTGAGGTTGGAGCTGGTCAGCGCGTTCTGGTAAGATATTTTATTGGTAGTGGTGAGCGCATCATACCTAGGACAGAGTCATGTGTCAGTCATGGTGGTAGTGGATGTAAGATTATTACCATATGAGCCGTTTATCGACCCCTAGCTCAGCCTTAAGCTGGCGTAGAAACGCTTCAAGGACCTCTGGATCCCACGCGTCGCTTGGGAACGGCTTCTCGATGTTTATAAGCCAGCCGTCAAAGCCGAAGTGTATTGCAATGGAGGCCAACTTCTTCGCCATGGGAAAGTTCAGATCTCCCGACTCTTCTATCGTATGATTCAACAACCGTTCCGAGCCTTCAGTTTGCGGTTCAATCAAGAAGGTGCCCAGCGCTTCCACACCGTTCCTGTGAAGCGTATTCGTCCATGTGGGTGGTGGCACACAGACTAGCTTATGAGAGAAGTAGACAAAAGTTTCAACAAACTGGAGATATTCACACGAGTAGAGTTCCTTGTCTACACCGATGGTCTGCACGCTTTCGTAGTCATGGTAGTTGCCAGAATAGTCATGGATCAATAGAACACCAGTTTTGCGGTCGTCGGTTGGAACTCTACCAGTCGCTCGTAACAACGGCGTATTGGCTCTTTGCAGAGGGTCAGAGTCAGCCTCGGTCCACGATTCCAATTGATCAAAGGTATCGAAGTAGCCGAAGCCCTTCAGTCGATCTAATGCGCGCTGATGGCGTCTCTCTTCCGGCGTAGGCCCAGTGTCCGGGGTGGGAAACAGATGTCGGTAACCATCGCGGATCGGCCTGAGGATATCCTTCCACTCAAGAAGATAAGCCATGTCTTCCTGCTGGTGAAAGTGGTGAGTGTATGGCGACAGTGGTGCGAACTGCTGCGGGAAGTAGCGGCGATCGGGATGACGTTGGCGGCAGGGGCATGTCTTGGCGTGCAAGGCTCCACAGCTCCATCCCTACGTGAAGCAGCTGGCGGAACGTGTCTTTTATGTCAGGCACTCAACAACCACCGCCCACCACGCCTCACGTCGCCAAACCTCTGCCGCTCCTTTCGCCGCGACCAGCGACCCACGCACCGCCATGATGAACCTCTTCCGACTGCTGGGTAGGCCTCGCGACACCAAATGATGTTTTGAGTATGATGTGCTAACACGTCTAGGGGATTTATCCCACCTGCTATCCATCCTGATTCTGCTGCATAAGATGAAGGTGTCGAGCGTACGTCAATCTGAGTTGCACACGTAATGCGCCGCATATACTGACACGGCATAGAGCGCGTCCGGCATCTCGTTCAAGTCACAATTTCTCTATTTGATGGTCTATCTCACGCGTTACGTCGACCTGCTGTGGACCTTCTACGAACCCAAGTCGCTCTACAATACCATTTTCAAAATCATCTTCATCAGCACATCCGCCTACACCGTCTACCTCATGCTCAACGACTACAAGCCGACGCACGACCCGAATCTCGACACGTTCAAGGTGCAATATCTGCTGGGAGCGAGCGCGGTGCTGGCGATACTGTTTCCGTACAAATACACGTTCTCTGAGGTGGGTAGCAGCAGGACTCGTAATGGAAGAGGAAGGTGCTGACTGATATAGATACTCTGGGCTTTCTCCATTTGGCTGGAATCAGTCGCCATTCTGCCTCAGCTCTTCATGCTGCAAAGAACCGGCGAGGCGGAAACGATCACGACACACTACCTGTTCGCGCTGGGTGCGTACCGGGCGCTGTACATCCCCAACTGGATCTACCGCTACTTCTTCGAGGTGCCCAAGTTCTACGACCCGATCGCGGTGATTGCCGGCATCATCCAGACGATCCTGTACTCTGATTTCTTCTACATTTACTACACCAAGTACGTCTCCAACCACCGATGAAGGCGCATCAACATGCTAATTGAACATTTAGGGTTATCCAAGGCAAGAAGTTCAATCTGCCCGTATAGACCGCGCGCGCATGGACGCTGCTCCCTTCTGCTGTTGGCGGCCGAGTTCGGTCCTACTCTGCTTCGTATCTGGGCATATTTGTGTTAGGTGGGCGTTTTGTGGCATTTTTATGGAAGGAGGTAGCCTCTGATAGTTGGCTGGTTGGGCGTTGGACGAGTTGGACGACATCACACAAGGGTGAATGGGCATGTAGGAAGATACCTTGAAATGAATAGACGTGAGATGGTCAGAGGAGTGTACTGAACATGCAAGCGATAAGGCTGAGACAGGAGAAAAGCAGCGCATGCATGTGCGCCACCGACTGCAGGCTCGAGGCATCAAGGGGAGCCGAATGCTTACCTGGAGGCGCACTGCCAATCAGCGGACGCTAATTCGGCGGCCAGGGCTCCGCACCATCCATGGATCTCGCAGCCGTCAGCCCTCTTACCTTTGATACTTTGTTATCCTAATAAACCCTTTTGCTATTTCTTCGTCCGCTCGCTGTTTTCACTTTGCCCATTCGCCTCGCCGACTTATCGCATTAGTCAGCGCATCCACGTCCGCCGTCGACGATTATCGCCTCCGCCTCAGTTATCGCCGTAAAGTGCGCGCCTCACACGACCGACCGACGAATACGTCAGGGCCATTAGGGCTGCAGCGTGCGCACGCCAGGCTCCCTACATACTGTACACACAACCACCGTCACGCCCACAACCCACCAACCCGCCATGTTCTGCCTCCGCAGCTGGATCCCCGTCCTATTCTTCCTGTAAGCACCCACCCACCCCATCTCTCTCCCACTCCACGCGCATTCCCTCCCTAACACCTCCCGCCGCAGATTACGAACGCACGCCTCACCCGTCTACCTCGTCCTCTTCATCTCAGCAACCTACTTCCTAAACCGACCCTGCGTGTACTGCTCGCTCCTCCTCTTCATCCTCGTCGTCGCCCTCTTCGACTTCCACACCCCGTGGTTCGATGCGCCGCTGTCCGATAGCGCGGAGCTGGCGCTGAATGGCACTGTTGCGGAGACGGCGGGTGTGCTGGCGCAGGCGGCGAATCATACGGCTAAGGCGGTGGTGAGGGGGGCGGTTGAGGGGGTTAGGGGGAGGGTTGGATTAGGGCACGGGAGTGAAGCTGGAGGGCAGAGTTATGAGTGGGTTAAGGGGTTGTTGGGGAAGAAGGAGTGGAGGATACAATGTTTGGATGTTTTGATTAGGGTTTGAATGGGGGTGGTCGATTGGGGAGATGGGGGTGCGGGTCTGCAATGTAGAGGTCTGCGAGGCGTTTGTGGCTGTTGGGCGTGGTGGAAAGGATACTATCGCATGGCTGGGGCGTATACTGAAGCATTTGCAGGCGTCAATGGCATACCACTTTCAGGATTGATATTCATCAGCTTGTGCGTGATACACATGCTTCGAGCAGATGGAGAGCGAAGGGCACTGCAGACCTCGGGGGACAACGCGCTTCAACCATCACAACGCATACATAAAAGAACAGCAAGATGGAATGCCGTTCCAGCATCCTCCCATCTGGATCTAGATAAATGCACCCAAGACCCCGCGCTAAAGCCGAACGCAGGGATTCAGCCTAGGTGGGGCGCTTCGGCGTGCCGCACGCGCACCTTCCCCTCTAAGCCTACACGCATCATCTCATGCCAGTCCAATTGAAACATTGACACCCCTCTTTCCTCTTTCGCTTGAGGTTATCTACCCCGCGGACCTTCATCCTGGCTACTCTATCTGCCTCTGCGAGACTCTGCTCTCGACAATTGAGGTGTAGAGCTAATCCTTCGACGCGTCTGTATTCTGCTGTATCGCATTCACTCTCCCCGACCCACCTCACCCGCTCTAGAAGCTTCTCTTCTGCAGCTAGAGAGCTTCCGTCTGCCCCACGTACCCAGTTACGCCCAAGACCGAGGCTTGCCGTAGCAAACACAAACACGTTTGCAGCACAAAAGAGGTTCTGCCAGAGCGAAGTCACCAGCAGTTTCGTCAACATGGCTTCAGATCGCGATGTCCTCCCCGCATGGTTAGTTGATCTCTCTCCAGTACTATAACCAAGCTAACATCCCAGGGCCAAACCTTCGCACTACGCCCTCTCCCTCCACGACCTCGAATTTGGCGGCAAGTTTGCCTACAAGGGTACCGTCAACATCACCACCAAGATCACAAAGGAAGATGGCTTCAACACCCTCGTCCTCAACGCACATCAGCTCAAGCTACAAACTGCTGAGCTAAAGGCCGGCGACAAGACACTGTCAGCAAAGGACATCTCATACGATGAGAAGAGGCAACAGGTTACACTCGACTTTGGCGAGAAGATTAGCTACTCGGGCGAAGCTCAGCTGGAGATTAAGTTCGAGGGCTTCGTCAACAACATCATGGCTGGCTTCTACCGCTCCAAGTACAAGCCCAAGGGCGACGTCCCCGCTTCCGTCGCAAAGGACGACGAGTTCCACTACATGTTTAGCACCCAATTCGAGGCCTGCGACGCCCGCCGCGCTTTCCCCTGCTTCGACGAGCCCAACCTGAAGGCTACCTTCGATGTCGAGCTCGAAGTGCCCAAGGACCAGGTCGCCCTCAGCAACATGCCCGAGAAGGAGATCAAGCCCAGCAAGCGGGACGGCTTCCACACTGTCGTATTCGAGCGATCGCCCATCATGTCTACATACCTGCTGGCGTGGGCCATTGGTGACTTTGAGTACGTCGAGGCTTTCACCGAGCGCAAGTACAACGGCAAGAACATTCCTGTCAGGGTCTACACTACCCGTGGTCTGAAGGAGCAGGGTCGTTTTGCTCTGGACAACTGCCACAAGATTGTCGACTACTTCTCCGAGGTCTTCCAGATCGACTACCCGCTTCCCAAGGTCGATCTGCTGGCTGTTCACGAGTTCTCGCACGGTGCTATGGAGAACTGGGGTCTCATTACCTACAGGTGCGTTACGCGCTTGGACAGACTGGACTCTATATTAACGTAACTAGAACTACTGCCGTACTCTTTGATCCCGCTACGTCTGCCGACAGCTACCGCAACAGGGTCGCTTACGTTGTTGCTCACGAACTTGCCCACCAGTGGTTCGGTAACCTTGTCACCATGGACTGGTGGAGCGAGCTCTGGCTCAATGAAGGTTTCGCAACATGGGTCGGATGGCTTGCCATTGACCATCTATACCCAGGTACGCCAAATCACTACTACATCAGAACTCTGCTAACTCCCACTAGAATGGAACGTCTGGGGACAGTTTGTCGTACGTCACAAATCTCGAGGTATCTACTATCGCCTATTGACTATTTCTCTAGACTGAATCCGTCCAACAAGCTTTCGCCCTTGACGCGCTACGAACATCGCATCCCATCGAAGTACCCGTATACGACGGTCTTGAGGTCGACCAGATCTTTGACCACATCTCCTACCTCAAGGGTTCCTCAGTCATCCGCATGCTGAGCGCTCACCTTGGCGAGAAGGTCTTCCTGCAGGGTGTTGCCGACTATCTCAAGGCCCACCAGTACTCCAACGCCACTACCAACGACCTGTGGTCTGCCCTGAGCAAGGCGTCTGGTCAAAACGTCAACACCTTCATGGACCTCTGGGTTCGCAGGATCGGTTTCCCAGTCGTCACCGTAGCTGAAGAGCCTGGTCAGATTGGACTGCGTCAACAGCGCTTCCTCCTTGCGGGTAACGTCAAGCCCGAAGAGGATCAAACTACCTGGTGGATTCCGCTTGGCCTTCACAGTGGCGAGTCAGCTTCCAGCGCGTCTGTTCACGAGACCACTGCTATGACACAGAAGGAAGACACAATCCGCAACGTCAGCGACAGCTTCTACCTGCTCAACAAGGACCTCACTGGTTTCTACCGCACCAACTACCCTGCGGACCGCTTGAAGAAGCTCGGAGAGGACCGCGATCAGCTCACCGTGCAAGACAAGATTGGCCTCGTAGGTGACGCCTACGCCAACGCAGTAGCAGGTTACGGCTCCACCGCTGGTCTCCTCGCACTGGCAGAGCGCTTCCAGGACGAGTCTGACTACCTTGTATGGTCTCAGATTCTGACCAACATTGGCAACGTCCGCAGTGTCTTCTCCGGCAGCGAAGACATCAGCGAGGGACTGAGGAAGTACCACCTCAAGCTCATCACCCCAGCAGTCGAAAAGGTCGGCTGGGAGTTCAAGGACGGCGAGAACTACCTCGTCGGCCAACTTCGCGCCAGCCTCATCCTCTCCGCCGGCATCGTCGGCCACAAAGCCACCGTCGACGAGGCCCTCAAGCGCTTCGACGCCTACATCAACGGAGACAACAAGGCCATTCACCCCTCCCTCCGCCGCGCCGTCTTCGCCACCGCCATCAAGAACCGCGGCGAACCAGCTCTCAAAGCCGTCCAAAACGAATACCTCCACACCACATCCATCGACGGCAAAGAAATCTGCCTCGGCTCCCTCGGCCGCGTCCAAACCCCCGACCTCGCAAAGCAAGTCATGGACTTTGTCTTCTCCGACGCCGTCGCCATGCAAGACAAGCACAGCTCCACCATTGCCCTCGCCAACAACTCAAAGGTCCGCCCGGAGGTCTGGCACTACATTCGCGATAACTGGGACTCCAAGGTGCATCCTGCGCTTGCTGGTAACCCGGTTGTCCTAGAGAGGTTCCTCAGGTTTGGATTGAATAAGTTTACGGATAGTAAGGTGGCGGATGAGATTCAGGAGTTCTTCAAGGGGAAGGATACGAGGGGGTATAATAAGGGGCTGGAGGTTGTGGATGATACGATTAGGAGTTATGCGGCTTATGCGCAGAGGGATGCGGGGGTTGTTAGGGAGTGGCTTGGGGCGAATGGGTATGCGTGACTGGGTATGGTGAAGTTGTGAGGGAAGAATGTGATGGCATGGGATTTGCATAGTAAAAGCAATACAGATCACTCTAGCGAGGACTGCAGGCGCTGAGACTACAACTTATAAGTCGTGATTGTGTTAAGTTTAACCATTTGTTTAGTTAGTCTTTTAAGATGTGCTACAGTTATCGCGCA